ATGACATGGAGAATATGTTGCGATAGAATAGTGGAGGCCGTGATTATTTTTAGCCTTTAAATTTTCAAAGCCAATGCTAACTATGGTTGAATAAGGTACATGGGTGGCTTATTGCATTTTGGTTATTATTAATAAAACCAACGATCAATTTTGTAGTGGTGTAGTTGGGGGCATATGTTTACCACTAAAAAATCACTTGATACCACATTGATTATTTTCAAAGAGATGTAGTGGTTTATAAGGCCAACTTAACCATATTAATTAAATTGTTTTGAGTTGGGAATAAGTGCTAGAATTTTGGACTGCCGATATGGTGATGCCAAGTATCTCAGTACACGCACCCTACTGCTCGCCACCTACCTACCAAGTAGGTTACATACTCGGCCCACCAATTACCCACCTGTCAAGTACGACATCATTCAAGGGGGTTAAGCGTCGACCTCCCAAGTCAGCAAGGTGGAGGCAGAATTTGGCGAAACATGACATCATACAATGGGGGTCATGCATGACATCCCCCACCTGTCAAGCATGACATCATCCAAGGGGGGTCAAGCAAGGGGGGTCTAGCGCCAAGTACCATGCCACCTACCTTGTGCTAGGATATCAAGCATGATATCGTGCAAGGAGGGCCATCAGGCATATGAATACCCTAGAATGTGTTGGCAAAGGAAGACGAAAATAGGCTAAGTGTTGAGACTCAACCACAAGGGGGTCAAACATGACATCATCCAATGGGGTTCAAGCATGATGTCATGCCAGGGGGTCAAGCACTAGTACCGGGACCGACTACCCACCTTGTGCTAGGGCGTCAAACCATGCAAATAGCGCCATCACGAGTACCCCTTACCGCAGTAAGGGAGGATCGTATCACTCACTTACCCGGAAGTCAAAAAACTAGTGACCCACCACAAGGGTATCAAGCATGACATCGGGCAATGAGGGTTGGTGTCGACATTGTTGTGCCACTCACCTCTCTAGTACCCAAGCAAAGCAGGGGGTAGATTAACGTGGATTGTTCCCAAAAAACCATCAAAAACATCAAACATCCTCGTTCGAACATTGTTCGGAGAGGTGTGACCGTGTTATTGTCATTGTTCAAGAAGTTAAAGGTGCATTAATTGAGTTCAAACACCTGATTTTCCTCACCGAAAAACATACGGTAATTTGGGGAAGTTGTAGTTAAAGATTTTTTTCCGAAGGAGTAGGGAATGATAAAGAAAAGAATCGGGATATCTTTTGAGCGTCTCATGAACTGGCCAAGATCCAACGCACAAGGGTTGCTTGTTCAGGTATATTGGGTTTTTGGTGGGAAGATGTCATTTTAGCATATGCCTTCTACAAATATATTATAGCCGAGTTGGGGGCAGTTGTTCAGCATTTCAAATTTCCTACAATGAGAGCGAAAGTAGGAAGGGGTAATTGTGTCTTCACAATCCTTATGTATTTTCTATTCATAAGAAAAAAATACATCAATCTCAGGATTCGAACAATGGTCTTTCCAAACTAAGACAACAGCTTTTACCAATTACACTAAATAAATCTATTGTATCTTTTTAAGTAAAAATTTTGAAAACCTGAAATATAAAAATCATATGACTTTTTCACTACTGTTAGGTAGCCCAGTAACTTTCCCGTAAGTACTTTCTTTGTGATTTGTTATTTGATATTTGAATTTTCATATTTTGATTATTTTAATTTGAGTTTAATAATAAATTTAATTCATGTCTATCTTATAAATGGAGGATAATTTCAAAATTGAAACCCAAATATCATTGATTCGAATATTACATATTGAATGTGTAGATGTGATGTAGAATTCTTAACTTGGTATTGATTTTTAGAACTATTAAAGCAACGATATTGTTATATAAACTATAAGTGACCAGCTTTTTAAAAAATTTAGTTTGGTTTACTGTTAAATCCTCACTCTCTTGATAATATGGCATGATGAGACAAATGGGTGAGTTTAAAAGAACACAATTTCTGAATACCCATTTTTCTAGATGATTTCAATTATTTAAATATTTTATCTTATATGATAATCGATCATATGTATCATTTATAGTTAATTAGTTTAATATAAAATAACCGCAATACAAGACAAATCATGAAAGTTGAGATGGAGTTTCCATGGATGCATTGATGCATGTGGTCATGTGCATTAGCAAGGTAGGTACCACGAGATATGTTTAATTTTTTGTTGAGTGAATAAGATTGTACTTCAACTAAATTTAGAGTATGTTGGTTGATAAAGAATTTTTTCATTGCATAGAGTATGGATGAAAAATGTTATTTTCTTACTAATTTTGTTATTGCATTGTGCAGAATACTTTAAGGTTTAGATACTATTATATATGTATTGTTTCTCAAGCATAAGAAATAAATATTGAAAAAAAGTTATGATCACGAGTTTCATATTTATGCTATGTTTTTTAGACAAATTCTTTTTTTGTTATGTCAATTTTCTTTTCATAGTGACTACATCATTAAATTGATATGTTATGAATGGTTATTCACGAATGTTATAACCAAGATTGTTACACCTCTATCGGTCGGCTGGTTGGACTATGTCTGACCAAAGTCGTGTTCCAAAACCTGCTCTACAAAACCAAGTGTCTAATTGTTAGAGAGGGAGAAGAAGAGAGAGGGAGGGGGGGGGGGGGGAGAACAATACAATTTCATAAAAATATTATATTTATATGCTAAATATAAAATATGTTAGATAAAAATATTGATTATTTATAGAAAAAATACATATGCATGTATATAATCGGGCGAGTTCGGATTTGATAGTGAGAAAACCATTCCCACCCATTACCTACAATATTTGGGTTCGGGTTATACCCGTACCCACTAAAAGTTCTTCAAGTTCGCGTTTTACCCTACCCAATTAGATCGGATTCGGACGGATATCCACGATTACAGATATTTTTGCCATCCCTAGAGAGAGGCAAGAGGATGGTGGGTGGATATTGAAATAAGTATGTTTTCTTATGGAATTTGAGTTTTTAATAGATATAAGTTATTAAATTCCATTTGAGTCACTAAATCTCTATCTTATATGTAAATATATTTAGAAAAGGTGTAAAACGGCTCAAACATGTTGGACTTAAATCAAACCATTAAACTTCAAACTACTTGCTTGACCGGCTCAACAACTTGAACCGGTTTGACAACTTTGGTTATAACAATTAAGCTTACAATGTTCATCATTGATGAAAAGTTATAAGAATTTCAAAAATGGAAAAATAATTTTGATGTCACCTAAGTGTCATACGAAATTCAGCATTTTATATAATTTAAAATTTTCTAAATACACATCATATAGACATTGTATTCAATAACATTCCGACCGACGGGTCGGGCAACAAGTTAGTTGGTGGAATGGGAGAGTTGAAAATTATTAATAATGTAAATTAATGTTATCAACTTTTATGCAACGTATCATTAATAAAATATAATCATCATTATTAACGTTTTCTATAAAATTTCAGGATATATAGGAAATTATTTATTAACAATATCTCATCATTTATAATCGTATATGTTAGGTATCATTATAAAAAAATGCCAGGTATCATTAAACAACTCGATGTATTATTATGGAAAAAAATATTATCACCTCTTCTCAAATCATTTATTGGTTGTTTACATAATTATTATTAATTTGATCTCATCATTTTTCAACGTAAAGCATATAACACTAACATGACCAATAATTCAATCATTAAATACTTTTTGAGAATTATTAACAATGTATCATGACGTTATCAACGTCTATGCAAAGTAACATTAACTAAATAAAGTCATCATTATTAATTTTTCCTATAACGTTTTAGGATATTTACAATATCTCATCATTTATCAACGTTTATGTCATGTATTATGAAATTTTTTGATAATGAAGACATTTATTAACAAAATAAGGTCATCATTATCAGCATTTGCTATAACCTTCTAGGATATTTACGAAGTCATTTATTAACAATATCTCATCATTTATCAACATTAACAATTAACTTTTTGATGTATTATTAACGAAATACAAAAACATTATCAACTCTTCTCAAATCATTTATTGGTTGTTTACAAAATTATTATTAATGTGATCTCATCATTTTTCAACGTAAATGATATCGTTTGGATGGGTTATTGTCAATATGGTATTTGTAGAGTCAAATAACTCATTTATTGTTCATGTGGTATTTTAGTGTTATTTCTGTTGTAATTGAAATAATGTATCTCGTTTGGTTGAACCATGCAAATGTGGTATTTGACATGTTTGGTCAAAGCAGAGTGATAAAAACGAGTTATTTCAAATAACTCGTTTTGAGTTATTTGTAAATAACTCATTCCCCAAATAACTCATTTTAGTAAGACGCTGCCAAATGAGTTATTTGGGACACAAATAACTCAGACAAATACTTTATCCATACGATAACATTAACAATGACCAATAATTCAACACATATTAGTACACCGTAGTCACCGACCACTCGTCTATTATTAGTTATATCATTGCAGTTATCAATCTATATATTATACCTTGCTAACTGCCCACGCGACTATTATTAATTATAATATTGCAATTATTAAACGATAACCACATCTACTAAAACACCCCAACTCGGCTGGGTACTAATTTTATCAAAATGCCCTTGATGACTCATAAACCAAAATAAGAAACGAAAGACTTGTAAAAAAAATGGAAGCTTTCCATAAATAACCATAACAAATACTGAAGTGAACTAAATCTCTTAAAACAAAGCCCTAACACTTGGGCAAACCTCAACAATAGAATCTGAATCTGAATCTGAATCTCCAGTCACTACTCATAATCGTAAATCAATAACTAAAACTCTACTTTGTTGTCTACTCGGATTCGATCTCTGGCACCACCAGTGACGCTTGTACTATCCTCCTCTAGTTGGCTTGCCTCGAATATCTTTCTCGATCTCGATGCTCACTAATTGCTCCTCTAGCTGCGACTATCGATCTAGTTCTCGCTTATTCCTTTACTAAGTCCTGGTGAGTGAGATGGGGTCAGTCTACGCCCTTACGTTTTAATAATTCTAATACTTGAGTACTTTACTTAAACACTTAACTTTGACTTGTGGAAGTTGTTTGTACTTCCAATCTTAAAATCTTAACTCTTAAACTTTGAGGGAGTTGAAGTTACTCTCCTCTCTTAAAGCTCAAATCTTGACTTAAATACTTGACCGACACGAGGATCCTTCACTAGCTAGTCCGGTTGCCAAGTCATACGTATGAGAAGCCATCCAGGCTTTCCTTAAACTTAAACTTAGTTAGGGGAGTCGTAACGATTCATCCCCCTAACATCTTAAACTTATCGTGGTGGCTCTTCACCACGATTCAAGAGTATAACTGCTGCTCATCTTAAAAGTCTCAAGAGCATAACTGCTGCTCTATCTCAAAATGTCTCAAAAGGCCACGGACTGGCGCTAGTGACTAAAAACACTTAAAACGACTTCACCTTCTTAAAGGTGAGTTACTTCTTAAAAAGAACTTGTTTCTTTAACTTAAACTTACTTGTAAGTAAAGCACACAACAACATAAAACTGGAAGCATAACTCACACAAATCATATGACATCATATAAGCATACAAATGCAAGTACGGCACATAGCAGTCAAATCTCAAAAACTTGAATACCGTAAGGCGTAGAATTTACCCCCTTTACACTCACCTTACGTCGAAGCGGATTGAATTGAATCAACTATAGCAATTGATTTCCCTTCACTTGATCATCACATGACTGCTCGGAAACAACCCCACCATCACAAGGGCAACGTGTCCTAATGCCATGAAAAACGTTCCACGAGGATCCACCCCTAATCATAGCTTCACCCTCGTCGTTTCCCCACCGGTTCACATGGCCATTTTTTTTTAATCTTCCCCACAGTACCTTGCAAGTCTGATTTTGCTTCCACAAAGGCCCAACCATTAGAATCAGTAAATCCATCATTCTTAGGCAATAATCCAAAATTCAAACGTATCACATCTGCATCACTCCACCTAAGCTTGAATTAAAGCCATTAGAATCTTGATGTTTGATTTTCTTGTCTGGGACACCCGTAACAACAATTCCCCAAGTATCATTGCTAGAAAGCTCTCGCCTTCGACGGTTGTGAGACCGATCAAATCTCTCCCTGCTGCCTTCTCGATCATTCCCCCTCAATCCAACTGATCGCTCTTGCTTCCTTTCCCGTTCACGAGAACCTTCCCGATCCTCGTGCCTTAACAACCTGCGGTGGTGGTCGCGATGCTGACCCTCTCGCTTCGACCGGTGGTGGTGGGGAAGAATTGTCGCCTCGATCCCTCGCCTCACCCTTGTCCAAACATCCATTGGAAATTGTGTCCATGCCCCAAACTTCCATTCGCCGATACCATTAGTACAGGGCAACGTATTTTCGAGGAGAGGAAAGATTAAGAGAGGAGGGATGAGGATTAGCTTTAGGTTTTCTTATAGGTGGTATTTAAAGTTCCACGTGAAGCCGAGTAGGGTTGGGGTGCTCAGGGTTTAATTATTCGGGGTTACTCAACTAACATCCGTAACTTACTCGATTTATATCGAAACCGGACACCGTTTGAACAGAGAGTTTTCATTTTTCGTCCTCATCAATATTATGATGGAATTTGACAAATTTACCCAAGGTTATAATAGTCATTTTGACTTTTGGCAATCTCGGGGTGTAACATTGCCTCCACCCTTATAAAAATTTCGTACCCAAAATTTATACTGTGATTGACACTTTGCATTTGATAGTGCTTGCCTCGACTGAGATTTCACATTTAGTGCTTGCCTCGACTGAGATTTCACATTTCCCTACTCCTTAAGAAAAATTTCGACCTCGAAATTTGTGCACCTCGACAACTTAAGGTCTCACTTGAGGAAATCATTCTACTACTGAGATGTATACTTCCTTTACCTTGTACGACCTTGAGCTATGAACCCTTTCCTCCAATTCTTGTGGTTCTTCGCCAACTAATTACTCCCCCAATTTTTATAAATCTCTTGCTCAAGCTAGTTACTTGCTCAATGCGTCTATGACACTATGGCACTCTCCCTTCTTAAATGCCTCTGATGGTGTAATGGCATTCATAGCTCTTGTTGTTCTCAACGATTTGTCTTGGGTCTCTACTTAGGATTCCTTAAGAACTTAAGGAAATAAATTATTAGCCAGCTATTCAGGTCGTGACTCATTGTAACTTTAGCTCATAACAAGCCCAGACCTTGAAGTTTGTCCTCCCTATCTTGACTGCTGACGACTCTCCTAGGTATAGAATGTCTGTAGAGAATGTTTGACCTGCATAATGATTGACTCCGATGCTGGTTCCTAGTTATCACTTCTTCTCCCTTTATAGGCCTCGTTATTCTCCTCTTTGATAACTCCACTTGATACGCACACTTGATGCCTGATTCACCATATATGGTTCCTTTAGCATGAGAAAATCCCTAACACATCCCTATTGACGTTCTTAATACCCCTTTCAACCCGAAGGTTACTAATGGCGGCTTAACCTCCATCTTGTTATATCGCAAAACTCTTTTAACACAACCTCATATGTGGTTGACCACGTAGATCACCTAGGTCCTTGTACCTTCTGACTTTGAATCTCTTACTTTCTTCCAAGATTCTTTGTCTCTCCCTTTAGCCATCGACTGAATGGTCATCTCCTCGTTACTTGTTGCTTAGCGCCAAAACCTCATACTACTGCTTTTACCTTCTGTAGGCATTAGAGACATCCTTTGCATTTCTCTCTAGCTTGCGATCAACCTTATGAATCATTTCAAGAATCATGATATTCCCAATGGCTTACTTGCTCACTCCTGGCGCCTAACTTAGCACTTCCTTATAGTTGCTTGAATTTGATATTCTCGTAATATCCATTCTGCAACTCTTAGACCCTAGCTGAAACTCCTCGTATGGTTTCGCCGTCCAATAAGGTTTTACCCGAGAGATTGACACCTTTTACCAACATAGGCGATCTTGGTTTCGCTTTGGGGTATCCTAGTAGGTTCCCTAAACTCATATCCCTCTTACTTCTTTACTCATGACTCTTCTTCTTGATGTTCCTTGCTAGTTCTAGATGTCCCTTGTTCTCGATGTAGTCCTCTAGGTCCCTATTTTCTCTTCTCAATCATGTACCATGATAGATAAGGTTCTCCCTTCGACTATTCCTGATGATCATGATTCCACCTTAAAAATTGACTGAAATATCTTTATGGACTTCCTATGGATCGGTTGTTCTCTAATTGGTGATCAACCTAATTCTTTCTTGTTGTCTGTTGTACTCATGCTTCCTCCCGTCTTAACTATCTTCCTTGACGCATACATCGCCAGGTTGATGCCAACCATTTTTTTTTTCTATAACTTCCCATGGTGTTCTTCTTGCTTTTTTACTTTTACTACCACCAAACTACAACTCTTCTGTTGTTGCTTGTACTATATTTGGTCACCAACCTTGTTGAGTATCTTCTCGTTGTTGTTTTAGGTCACAACTTCCAATGGCGGCATGCCCTTGGTAACCTTTAACATAACTCATTCCATGTCTCTTTTGTTGATCGATCTTGTACATAAACTTAGTCTCTTAGTTAGGATTCTTAGTGGCTTAACTAACCATGCATGTTTCATCCTTAACTAGTTGTCTCCTCTGGAGCCCTCCTACTGTGCCGCGCCCACTCAGAGTGGGGCACCTTGGATAAGGTAACTTCTCTTTTTCCTCCTTCTCGGTAATGCTTTCCCTCATCGTACCTCTTTGTGCAGCTTCTTGACCTCGAGTCACCTGAAACTTGACCCATTGACTTCTTGAAATCTCGTTAAACTCCCTCTGGCCTTTTTGCTCTTCCTTGGTATTGTTCGCAAACTCTCTTCATTACGACCGTTTAGACTCTTCCTCGAATTCTCCAACTTTCATTAGAACTTCTAATGAACGTTGTTTGTCTATACCCGGTTGATTGAATGATTTACTCCTACGGCTGGTTCCGAGACTCCCGCTCTTGGCCCTCTAGTTCCCACATTAGACTTTCCCAATGGATTCCTTGAAATTCCATGATTTTCTGATTCTCCTTGATCATGGTAATTTGCAGGGTCTCTCAACCCCTTCTCATACCTTGTCCTCTAGCTTACGCTTGACAGGTGTATAGCATGCCTGATCTAACCTCAACCTCTACATCATTTATCTCGTTGCTTGTCTTGTTCCTTTTAAAGGCTTGCTATCAGCCTAACTCCCCAGGGTCATGTACCCTCTTCTCTAGTGAGGTAGTTTGTCTATAAGGGTTCCTTTATCGTCATATGTAGATGACCATGCCTCCTATCCGCCCTGACTTAATGACTTTTTGACCTCCTTTTGGACTCCTTATAACCCCCGTATTTCCTCCTTTGCTTCATTCAGACGAATCTATCGTTTCTTAAGGTTTAACTTTCCCCTACTCCTTATCACTGCGTTGTAATAACATCAACCACTAAAACCAATCGAGTGGTTTTTTTTTGTGGTGCCTCTTCATTTTCTGCTTCGTTTCCTCCTTGCCGCTTAGGGTCAAGTATCCTCAAATCCTCATCATTGCTAATGACGCCCTATACTTCTCGTTGTAAGGTATTAACCTCATTGAACCTAGATCTTGGTCCAATGATGACCACGTAGGTCACCAAGGACCTCCTACCTTCCAAAATCTGCCTCATGTCTTGAGATTCGACTTGAATAGACCACGTTTCTTGCCTTCTTCCTTTCACACTGATGATCGCCATCCACCTTAATCTGTTAGTTTATGTACCAAAACATGCTAGCTAAGTCGCGTTCTAACTTCATCTTAAACCAATAGCACCCTCGTGTTACCATCTCTTCTTAGCTTGATAGATCCTCCACTTGTTGCCTAGTTGTAAAATCCTCGAGGTATTCCCTTACAATTTGCACCTCTTCTTCTAGAACTATAGTTATTTACCTTAATACGATTAGAGTAAACTGGAGATTCTTGAGACTCTTAAAAGAAGATCCTTGACTCGCTTTCCTTTCCGTTAAAAACAAAAGTCTTTAAAAACTAAGACTGATATTCCAATATTCCTTGGAGACCAAGAAACAGAGGAAAACCGGCTCTGATACCAAAATGAAACACCCTAACCCGGCGGGGTACTAATTTTACCAAAATGCCCTTGATGACTCATAAACCAAAATAAGAAACGAAAGACTTGTAAAAAAAAATGGAAGCTTTCCATAAATAACCATAACAAATACTAAAGTGAACTGAAATCTCTTAAAACAAAGCCCTAACACTTGGGCAAACCTCAACCATAGAATCTGAATATGAATCTCTAGTCACTGCTCATAATCGTAAATCAGTAACTAAAACTCTACTTTGTTGTCTGCTCGGATTCGATCTCTGGCACCTCCAGTGACGCTTGTACTATCATCCTCTAGCTGGCTTGCCTCGAACAACTTTCTCGATCACACTGCTCAATAACTGCTCCTCTAGCTGCAACTATCGATCTAGTTCTCGCTTATTCCTTTACTAAGTCCTGGTGAGTGAGATGGGTTCAGTCTACGCCCTTACGTTTTAATAATTCTAATACTTGAATACTTTACTTAAACACTTACCTTTTACTAGTGGAAGTTGTTTGTATTTCCAATCTTAAAATCTTAACTCTTAAACTTTGAGGGAGTTGAAGTTACTCTCCTCTCTTAAAGCTCAAATCATGACCGACACGGGGATCCCTCACTAGCTAGTCCGGTTGCCAACTCATACGTATGAGAAGCCATCCAGGCTTTCCTTAAACTTAAACTTAGTTAGGGGAGTTGATAGACCGATAATTACACATATTTTCACCCCTATTCTTGAGCCGTTTGAGAGGTTGACTCTCAGGTTTTAAGCCGATTTCACGCGAGGTTTTGTGTTTATGTCATATTTCAGGACCCGGCGTTGGAATCGAGGCGAAGGCACGAGATTCGGGTCGAAAGGAGCAAGTGAGGATTGAAGTGGGCTGGAGGAAGAAAATACCCGGCCATGACCACAAATACCCGGCCGGGTATTATTCTGAGGAGACCGGGGATTTTCCCTTTTGGCGTCTGAGAAACAGGGGGGTCCCGGTCTGGCAGGCAGAAATCCCCGACCGGGGATTATTGGATGAGACCGGGTATTTTTCCTCTGGCCAAAACGTGCGTTTTAACTATACCCGGTCGTGACCCAAAATACCCGACCGGGTATTTCGACCGGGTATCGCGACATGCAGCTGTTTTAATGGAAAAGAAGGCTGAAAATCAAGGGATTCGAGTTTTAGAGAGACAAAACGATTCCTAGAGAGAGAAAGCGACGAACAAGAGTCTCCAAGTGCCCTAGATTGATCTTCATCACCATTGGAGGCCAGTTTGAGCTTGGAGAAGTGCCGATCAACGTCCAGGAGCAGGAATCCATCCTTCACAGTATGAATTCCGCGTCTGATTCTGCTTTTGCTTCTTTCTCCA